CACTTTGGAGTGCAGCTGCAAACTATAGGAAGAAGATTAAATTAATTTGTAACTCTTTTTTTTTTTTTTTTTGGTCCTGCATTACTAAATCCTCCACATTTAATTGAAACCCTACTTCAAGACGCTTTGTGTTCCTGTGTTCTTTGTTGTTAGTTTAACCTCCAAAGCACTTTAACACCGGTAAATTGCTGTTAGATCCTTTGGCTTGTTTTTAAACCATTCAGTAGGAGAAGAATGAAATTGATACATGAGAAGGAAAGTGAAATCTTAGGGTAGATTTTGAGGTATTTAATATTTATTATGGTCTTCCCCAGCATAGTTTCAGGTGATTTAAACTCTTTCTCTAGGACTGTGTAAATTGGTCTTGGGATGAAATCTCACCTAGGGAATTTATGTAATCCAGTAGTTAAGTCTGATTTTTTAAAGTTTCCCTCTGTCAGAATGTTCCCAAGCGGCTGCTACGTTTCTATAAAATGAAGGTTTAACTGCAGTGCGCGATCCAAACACAAAATCCGTAGCTGGAAGTTTAATTGTATAAAATGTGCACAAGGTAATAAAGAACGAATTTCAGAGCATTTCAGACTATAAAGTACTCCTTCAGCTAGATCACTGGCTGTATTGAAAATGCTTATTTTCAATTTGCAGTTATGCTGAGAAATATAGACTATGTCTAAATTAGGACTTTAAAAAATCCAGTGCTCATCAGGAGAACTGTAAATTTAAAACTACTCCCACAGTGTTGTTGATATTCTGAGTAGGAGACTTGATTACCAAAAGCTTGTCTTAAATTTTTGTCCTGCTCTTGTTTTCTGACTACCACGTTTATTTTCTCTTTATCATTTATGATTTCATGACAGTAGTTATTTTTATTATCAACAAAAACCATTTTTGTCCTTTGTAAATAAATATCTTCTTTTTGTTAAAATACAGAGGTTTTTATCATACAGTTGCTGTTGTGTATTTAGCAATTGTTGTTCTCTTTCACACACACATGAAAATAGGAAATATATTTTTATTTAAATTATGAAGTTCAACATATTCAAGAATATTGCATAGATTATGGTTGGTCAAATCAGAGATTCATAAGATGACACTAAGGAACAGTCTTTTTTTTACAGTGAGATGTTTATGTTATTTAAGTGTATTCTCAATTGGTAAAGGCTTTGAGAGCATTCTTTTTCTGCTTTTTACATGATAAATGTCTCACAACAGAGTATTCTGCAGTTTGCTATATCTTGTGGTTAGAATTAAAATACACTTTTTAATTTAACATTAAGTAAAATCCCTCATCTCTACCTCCACCCCCCACACCCCCAATATAAATAAAGCTCTTCCAAATCTCTTCCAATGTGGGCTGCTGCTGTCCTGGGAACTACAAGGATGTGAGTGTGCTTTGATGAATTGCTGGTGCTTCTGTGCGGCTACATTTTTCAATATACTTTTTTTAAAAACTGGACTTATGCTGCCTATATTTAAATACTGCTTTTGTAAAGATGGTGAAGAGAGCAAAGATTTCCATTGGCTTAGCCCTAATCTGTTTGCATTGTTGCGATTGTTTTTTTTTCCTTTACTTTAACTGTTAACCTATTTATAAATCTAAATCTACACACAAAGGTCATTGGTTGGCTGAACTTAAACCATTTTACTCAGTAAATTTAATTAAGAAAATACAGTGCAACTCATAAGCAAATGAGTTTTTTCCTAGTTTTAAACCAAACCACCCTCTTGAGTGCTGATTGCCTTGCTCGACCCCTGGTGATACAGAAACAGGCAAAATTAAAAAGGACATTAAAGCTTCATTAAATCTGAAACACATTTAGTACAGTGACATATCTGCAGGCCATTTCAGAGAGATTACATACTCTCTTTTGTAAGTTTCCTAATTTATAATACCTTGACAAAGAAAACTGGGGAAATGCAAGTGGATTAATAGACCAGTAGGGGTGAAAGATACAGAATGGCCCCGGGTCTGTCTGTCTCAGAAATACCCAGAGCATCTGTGCGCCCTCCTTCCCAGAGGGGCTCCAGGTTTATTTTGACTTTTGACAGTGCTGAATAACTTGTTCTCCATGCAGCCATGTCTGCTAGATCTTTTTCCTTATTTATGTCCTCCTAATAGAACTTGATAAAAGGGTCTAGGACCTGGCTATATGTTTCCTTCTACTTTTCCACAAGATGAATAATGTGGAGTTTGGACCCTGCAGCTGCATTAGACCTAGAATAGGGACATCTGTGGAAGTCTGGTCCTCTCCTGGGGCCTTCAAGTGACTGCTTTCGGTGCCGCTGCCTGTTTTTGTTAGCTGGGATTGGAATCGTTGGCCTGCTGCTGGAGCAGCCCAGTGGTGACACTTGCAGGAGAGGAAGTCCTTGTTTGTCACACTGCTGTTGCAGTGGTACCTACTGGTTAAAGTCAAGGAACCATTCTCTCTCTTCTAACTCAAAGATGTCAGACCCGTAAGATGTCTTAGAAGCATAGTTGACAGGTAGGTCTGAGATGCCACCACATGTCAGGAAATTATACAGAAATCAAAGCCAGACCCAAGCATGATGAGTTTACCTGTTTGAGCACTGCCACCTGTTCCCAAGCAAGACTGGTCCCGGCTAACCTCCCTGCCCCCATCTCTCAGCTCTCTGGCAGGTGGTATCTTAGCCAGTAGATGCATCAGCTGATTTGGTTCGCCTTGTCATGTCATGACGGGTAGCCAGGTAGTTGTGTGCACATGCCCAGGTCACCTGGAGCCTGGCCTTTCCACAGAGTGTTGATGACTTGAGATTGAAAGATTTGTGTTGAAATGGGAAGAATTTACATTTTCTGCTTATCCCACTCTTTTTTTAAGCTGTCCGTTTATCATTGCTTAATTCTTTAAACTGCAAGAACCAATGGCTAGTGCTGGCACCTACCAGCTGGTTTAGATTTGAATGTGTGGTGGGAAAGTTTCTTCTGCCCGTAGCCATAGAGACAGAGTTATTACGTGGTCCCTATGACATGTTCAACGTGTACCCAGGTGGATGGCACAACGCCTGTACAAGGACTTGAGCTAGGTTGTTCTAAACGCTTTTTAGTAGTTATTAAGCTGCTAGCTTTGTTAGAGAAAAGGTCCTTCCCTTGCTGTTTCTCCAACTCCGGAGGGAAGCATATGCAAAGCTCGTAGTGCACAGGTCACTGTGGTGGTTGGCAGCAGCTTTAGGGGAGCTGCAAATGCTTGGTCCTTCTACAGTGATAGACACAGTGACTCCTTCCAAGTCAGTGTGCACACTCTCTCTGGCCAGAAACACTGTATTTTCAAAATGTGGGGCAAACTTGCAAACCAGTACTGGGTGGGAGTGGGGTGGGGGCTGAAGATGGGAGAGCCGAGGCCTCTACTTCTGACAATAGTCATAGACATAGACAGAATCATACGGGACTCAAAAGGGAGGCTGGTGAACATCCACATACTCCTCCTTCCCCCCTGCCTTGGGGTGTTTTATTGAGTATTATTTATACTCAAAGGGATTCATGGGACCCATCAAATGACATAGTGGTGGTATATCTATATCTTGAAAGGCCATACACATATCTGTGTATATCTTGTGTACAGAATGTGAGTACAAGATGGTGAAACTTACTGGGTATTCCGAAATACACACACATGCATCCAAATGAGTATTGGCCCTTTCGGAGTATCGCCTATGAGCTCATGTGATTTATTCCTGTGACATTGCTGCTGTTCAAACTGTTTTAGAACTGAAAACCTAGCACCTTCATTTCTGTCCTTAGTAGGTAACAAAATATTCTCTGTAGGTGGCTTTGGGCTTTGGTAGTGTCCATAGGCTATTCAAACCTCAGTCAACAAACAGTTGACATGATCAACAAGCTGCTGAGGGCTATAATTTTAAATCCAAGATAAGATGCAATGCTACTAAGATGAAGTAGGTATCCTGCTACTTGAAATAATTCTAAACACAATTCCAAAAGCAGAGTTTAGAAATGTTTGAGCAGTGTCAGTGTCTTTGAAATAAGTGCACGACTTCTCAAATCCTTAGAAGGCAGTGGAACACGATGGCAGAAACACTGGATTGAGCCGCAGGTCTGAGGGTCACCCCCAGATTTCCTCTTACGAACTGCTTCAGTGGAACCATGAGTGTCTAATCTGTGAAGTGGACCGATGTTCTCTCATACCCACTGCCACTTTCAGACCCCTGATGCTGCGATTCTGCTTTGAAAGCAGTCACAAACATGTATCAAGCGTGTCAGGACCGAGGGTGGGCCATATTATGAGGTTACAAAATTCTGCCACTATTTTTTTTAATAAATAAAGATGTTTGTTAAAGTTTATCTTATAACTTTATATCAAGCCCCTTCCTGGTTGAATCATTTTGTTTTTACAAGTGAGGATCCAAAGACCAAAATTAAATGACTGGCCCAGAACCAGAAACTCTGAGGATTCACTTTCCCGATTTCAGACTTAGACTTACAGTTCTGACTTCCCAGTCTTGAAATGGTTGTTTCCCCATTCATGGGTAGAAAATGGATTTTTTAAAAACTTAAGTGGATGAAAATAATGGCACAGGTTTCAGTTTCATAGTGTGGCTTATTCCCTACTCCCTGCAACCCTTCGTTTATGCTTGTGACTGAAAACTGTGGATAGGAACAATGAGCCATCCCATTTTACAAGACGAAACCACAGAACTCTGTATCTCTGTCTAGAAGAAACTGTCGCACACATGTAAATGTGAATAATGCCTGTAAAGCTGAATATTGCTAAGATAAGCCACATAAGGGTAATGTTTAGTTATTAAAATTAGAATATTGTGTCCGAGATGCAGCATTGTCCATTGAAAATGTTCATTCTAAATACAGCTTTTAATGTAATTACAACAATAATTTAGTTCCTCCATTTGAGGTTGTAAGCTTTTTTATACTTGCTAAATGCAATTCTGAAATTTAGTGCTTGTCTGTCTTAAGGAGATCTGCCCTGCATGCAAATCTATAACTAGACAAATATTATTTCCTTTCCCAGCTTGCTCTTGGGAGGTTTCCATATCCTCAGGTAAGATTGTTCATTACTGCCGTTTGCCGCTGTGACATTCATTCCTATGTATGAAGGTTCAGGGAGCAACTGTGAACATTGGAGCCACACACAAATAAATCTGTCCTGTTAAATTGAAAAGTGATACCTTCACGGAGCCATTTAGAAGTCTCTACTGATGCTTCATTTTTTTTAACTCTTAATTTTTTTCCTCTTTTGTTAAAGGTTGAGAGCGATCAGTGTGCTCTTCCTTTGTGTGACATCTGAGATGCTTTTTATTTCCTGGTCCAGAACCATGTACTGTACTGAGGCTGGAGGAGAGAGCCAGCTTTTCCTGGATGCACTTGTGAGCTTTTGAACTCACGTAAAATTGCTTAAGTTATAGTTTTAAGATTAAAAGTGGAAGTTTCTCATCTAAGTCATTAGTTTCACTGGACAAATAGGCCCTGATTTCACGGGAGTATAATTTTGATCATGTTCTTTTTAAAGGTTTTGCTCCTTCCTATGCCCATTTCTAAGAAAACAAACAGTCTATTATACTAGCACTGCTGACTCTGATCTTCATAATTTCTTTAAGAATTTTATTATAACGTGTGCTAGCACTTAAAATATAAAGCTATCTTGTGGTCTGAAAACGATTCCCTAGTGTGTGTGGGGAAATAAGTGAAATGTCTAGAGGGATGAAAAATGAATGGCTTGACTGTTCTCCGCTGGTTGATGTTCACTGTTTTTCTGGCATCTTGGTCTGTACAGGCCAAAGTGCCTGGAGGCATGTCTGATTTAAAGGTAGTGTTGGTCTCTGCTCTTTAAGCATCTATTAACTCGCTATTATTATGCAAATAAGTGTTGTATTACACATACTAATTTATGCATGGTTAGATTATGCAGATGCATCACAAACATGGTTATTGAATAATAGGATGGGGCTCATTCTCTCTCCCATCTTTATAAACGGTTTTAAGCAAATTCTCCTGGTACCCATGTGGACATTTAAAGACCCTTCGCTCACTGAAATGTCTTTTTTGTATTCTTTTTCTCATAGTTAAAGCCATCAGATAAGTGAAAGAGAAGTCGTCCAAGTTTTAGGTTCCAGAGTGTTGGTCTCACTTTTCAAATTTGTAGCCTTCTTTGTTCAAATGTAATCTTTTTTTTATGGAGGAAATCTAAAATGTCATTTGCCTGGCCTGCTTGCTGGCGTTTAGGGGAATTTCCGTGTATACAGCTTTGCTGCTTAGCTCCAGGTAGCCCGTCAAATTAAAATCACATTTTCAGGATTTATAGCTCATTAGAATATTTATCTTGGTAAGCCTCTTGTTCTGTCAGTAATTTTTATGCAATTCACTGGCCAATTTATGCAGTCCTCTGAAATTTTGAAAATGTTTACAGAGCAAGCCCTGTACAATATTGCTCTCAAACAAGTCTTAGTAGAAAACTTGTAAGCCATCTAATGAACAGTCCAAAGATTGTGAATGCAGCTACATCCTTGAGACGCCTAATTTCTAATTTCTAGAGTAACTAACAGAGATTTGGTGACGGAAGAGTCCAAGAAATGAACTACTATTGTATTCGACAGATGAAGACAGGAGGGCCGTGGCCACGCTGGGGACAGGGCTATATGCCTCTGCAGAGCTGTTTTTCTGAATGTCTAAATATGCGTTTACCTAATCAGTCAAGTGGAAGTTGAAAAATTCTAATACTATGCTGAACTCCCTGGTTAGCAATAACCTTTAAGACAGAGTGAGGGGGGGAAAAAAACGATCTTCCTTGAATCCTAATGGAATGTGTCACCAAATCAGTACTTTTATCTCAAGTCATAGAAGCCGCTTTGAGGCACTAGACCTGTTGCCCGGGTCTTTCCACAGAAGTTTGGATGCTTTGGTGCTGGAGTCAATGATGATGGAGTCAGTGATGATGGTTGATGGAGTTGGCAGTTACTTTGCAGGCGTGATCCTGAGACTGAAGTTGGGAAAGGGGACTTGATAAATGCCTTTCCTGCCCCTTCCTTTGCCTTTAAAAGACGCTTGTGAAGAAAATGTCTATTTCATAGTATCACACAGACTGGGTTATGAACTAGCACCTTCTCTTTGGCCCACCTGATATCACGTGAACTCCTCACCAAGCTGAGATGGCCTCCCCTCATAAGTCGGGCAAGCCCAGCAGCAGGTTTTCCCACTGTTAAGCTGGGGCTGGTTTGGTTCCATTAGAAGGGATCTAGGGCATCATCAGAAAACGCCTCTGCAGAGTCTCTAAAAAGCAGACATCCACACTGCTTGGACACGTCCAGCGACAGGAAACTTAGTCCTCTACCAAGCAGCCATGGTGGATTAATGCAGCATTCTGTTTACCTAGCTGAGAACTGCCTCATCCCAATTGTCACCCACTAGTCTTGTCCTTGAACACACGAAAGCCTTTCCTATAGCCTTCGATCACATTGTTTTGAATCCCTGTGTTCCCAGGGCAGGGGACAATGCCAGGAATTTGCTGCTGCGAACCCAGAGTCCATCAGGGCATCGGAGCTGAGCTGTCCTTACTAGCGGCAAACTGGGAAGAGTAGCCTGGTGGGAGCAGGAGGCTGGAATTGGAACCCAGCGCCCCGCAGACTCGCCACAGACCTTAGTTCTTGCCTGTCACTCCTGAGACCTCACTGTCCTCACCCCTAAGGGAGGATCCTGATCTCCACCTTTCCTACCCAATTAGAGGAGGGATGCTGGTCGTATGACATTACCCATATGAAGCCAGTGAGAAGAGTATGGAGGCCACCACCTCATGCTGGGCTGCAGTACAAGACAGAGTGTCCCAGCTACCAACGAAGGTGGCAAGAAAATGTCCTTAGCACCTGGAGCAGAGTATAAAATGGGCAGGGAGTGGGGCTGGGGGCGGGGCCAGCCTCAAGACCCATCCTTCCCTGCAGTCAGTGCTGCTGACAGCGTCGTTAGCAGTGACACAGTGTGTGTCCGGTGGAGGTGCAGATGAGGGAGGCGAAGAGATTAGGGAGAGTCAGTGGCCTGGGACCAACAGAAAGGCTAAAGGCCAGACTTTGGTGGAGATAATGTTTGTGTTGGGATAATCATCCAGCATGAATGTTGTTGTCTTGTGGGCCAGGTGTTAGTTATTTGAAAGCACTGTCTATTTCTGCTTCCTTGAGGCCTTAGGGTAGCTCACTAGCATGCAGTTTTTAGGATTCTATAGAAAATGGGGTTGAGAGCCACTATAAAGACGCTGTCCAGTTACTACAGGTTATAACACGAAGCACAGTGATGTCTTCTTGCGGAGCTCCAGACCTTTCTGGTACTCCACCTGTGGGACTCTTGTTTCCAACCTCCAGGTAAGATGGCAGAGACTCAGAGAGGGAAACACCTTGCCTCGGGCAGGAATGAGTACAGTCAGCCTAGGACTAAGCAGGCGGTTAGACTAAGTAACTGACTCCGCGACCTCTTGGCTTGACTGGCTGTTCCTTTCTGCTCAGCCCGCCATCCCTTCTTCGGGCCCTTTTCTGCCACAGGGAGCCCTCCCCTAGATGAGAGATACGCCTCTGTGGCTGATAACAAGACCGTCCCCAGAGGCCTCTTGCTTTCTTGCCTTGTGTTTAGCAGAGTGATGGGGGTCCAGAGGGCCCCTAAGTCCACACTGACCCCAGGGCTGTTAAACTCTGGGTGTCTGCAATAGGATCATAAAAATTGCATTTTTAAATACCTTGCAAGCAGATTGTGTCTCGATTTCTTGAACATTTCGCTTTCATTGTAGTCTGGAAAGACACGCAGGTCTAGACAAGGACTAGAGATCCAAATTTCATTGACTTAAAAACATGATAGCGGGCAATGGTTTGTTTAATGGCACCATAATTTAGGAGAAATGAAAAGGATTGCCTGCTCAAAATCACCATCCTTCATTCAAACTTTACAGCAGTGCCCTGCATTAGGATGTTAGAAATCCATTAAGGAAACTTCTCAGGGGATGCGTCAGCTCAGGCCCTGGGAAATTTGGTAAGCAGAATGCCACGGGAAAGGAGATAATACAGGCCCAAATGTATTTAAAGTACTTTTGCATGTATAAAAGTAGTGTTCTTCTTTTGGCTACAATTCCTGATCTTGGTTAATAAATTACATCAAAATGACCTGAAGTTAAAAAAAGGAAAAAAATCTGAGCAAATAGTGCCCCTGGTATTGTAAAGCTTTGAATGTTTTCACACCCCATTAATTTATTACTTCTCTTTCTTCATCTTTAAATTTCATTTTTTTCAAAAATTCCGACTCCCTGCTGCTGCAGTGATTTTCATCTTGTTGTTAATTTTCCCTGCTCCATATGGAGCTCCAGACATTTCACCTGGAGGCTGTACTAGATTTTGCTGTAGTGATCGTACTTCCGGAGGCCAAAACTGTCATTTAGGGTTCCTGGTGCATCTGTCTGCGCCAGGCTTTTCACTGGCATGGGAGAGTGTGAATAACGAATTGGATGCACCTGAGATTCGGATGATTAGTGTGTTCTGTGAGTCTCCACGACTTGTGAGCAGATAGCTCTGGGGGAGGGAGCTCGGTGGTGGCCACAGTGACTCTGTGCTCACACCTTGCATTTGGTAAGTGCCGGCGTCCTAGGCAGCCTGAGTGCAGAGAGAGTAACAAATATTTCATCCTGCCTTGTCATTGATTAGAAAAGAGCCTTTAATTTCATTTCACCCCATGTTGTGATTAATTTGCATTCTTTGTCAGAAGTTAATGGAGTTTTTTATGGTTCACTCTGAAATCCTTGAAGACATCAGACTTGATCTGATGTTTATACAACCGCCAGCGGAATTTTTTCATTTGATTGATGGCAAGCTTGATGTTATTCCAAACGGCTTTTTAAGCTGTTTTTAAGAATTATTTGAATAAAATGCAAGCAAGATATTGTTGTAACGATCAAGATTATCTGTTAAAAAATCTGTTTCAAATAAAGATGATAAGTAGTAAAAAAAAAGATCAAAAAGATACGAGAAATAGTGAATGGTGATGTTATTTGTTAAAAACACATAAGAGTGGCATTCA